AATCCTGTCCTATATGATCAAATTAATATTGATCAATATCAAATGGATCATGATCTCACATATTTATTAAGAATTAACAATAATACCACAAAAATGGACTCAATTGTCGACAATGTAGAACAATTGTATATATGTCAAAATTGTTTTCAAAGTCTACTCAGTAGTGAACAAACAGTGAATCGTTTGAAACTAATCGAAATTTATCTCAGATTTTTGTCTGATATGAATGTGTTTCTAATCGATATTAGACAGTCAATAGAGAAATTATCATTTAACATGTTAGACAACTTTTCATCAAGGTTAAATTTATTTGTTAATCAGATAAAAGATGAACTACAACAATTTAAACAAATTTGTCATGAACAACAAGTATCAAATGAATCAAAATCTCTGAAAAAATCACCCGAAACAGTATCCAATCTCGAGAAGATAACACACGAAGAGGTCATTGTTAAATCAAAAGAAGTTTTTCAAGAACCGTCAGTTCTTTTTGTAAAACCAATTATTGATAAAGAACGTTTAGTAATTCAAATTCAATCTCTATGGAGAGGTTATCATGTACGAGATAAGATAAAAAATAATCTAGCTGCCATTCGAATACAATCAACATGGAAAGGTTATTCATTGAGAAAACGATTATCTTTAGCAAGACAAATGTTATCATGTAATAATGAGAATTACACAGAAGTAGATTTAAAAGAATTTGATTTTGACGAGGTAAGTTGTGTATTTTTTAAATTAAAGTTTTATATAAAAGAAGAAATAATATATTTTTATATATTCAAGGCTGCATTTGACGCTAAACTACGCCCGAGAACACCATCAGCGTAAATGAACAAATATCTTACCACTATTAACAAAATTTCTTCTAATTTTTAAATAATTTTTAGATCATTATCAAAAAATACAATACATCATGCAACCACCTCTTCTAAGCCACCTCTTCCGCCATTACAACAAGTTCGTCATGCATGGCGTTCAACTACATCACCTGTTGGAAGTTCAAAATTAGTTGATGAGTCAATAAAACAAAACAACAATAGAGATTATTATAACGATGAAATGAATTTGCAATCCTCTCGGTCATCCGCTTCAAGTTTTGCAGCAACATTAGAATTGGGTGGTACAAATAATAAACAAAAAACTTTACAAGATGAATGGGGAATTCAAAATCGTGATACAACAGCGCTAATGTTAAAAAGAGCTGAAAAAATGAAATATGGAGTAGAACGAAAACAAAAATTACAAAAAATGGGTATGTTAATGGAATAGATAAAGAATGTGTCTATATTAGTTACATTTCAGATCCTCAACAACGACTTCATTTACTTCGAGCATTGGAGAAACAAAATCCAGTTACTGTTCGTCAACCAGTTGGTAAAATGAATATGCTAGAACAAACAAGAATTGGAACAGTTAAAAGTATTAATTAATCTTATTAACAGCGAACAATTACCCATGTCAAATATCTTTAATTTAGTACTTGAACCTCCTCAACCACCAGTTAGCAATCGAGTTTTTGAATGGGTTCATACGCAAGTTGCTCGCTTTGATGAACCTTTAGAGTGAGTATCTTCATCAATTACCAATACGGTGGTATTCATTCTTTGAATTTTGGTATTTTTAGAAATTCAAACGAATTGGGTAAGAGAAAAGATCAACGTCGTCTACCAAGTTTGGATTATTCGATGACATCTGCATCTGAATTATATAATGTACGTATAGTTGTTAGAAAAAAGATAAATAACAGTATGATTTGTGGCATGAATAATCCAAATGAGAGAACGTGTGATGTTTTTCAGATGAGATATAACCGTTCACTTTTATGGAAGTCTAATCAGTATCATTATTCTCTTTTATAATATTCTTCAAAGAATTTCTCCATTTCTGCTTTTTTTGACATAGCAACTTTGTTTTTATTTATTCTAGAGTATAAATCTGGTTCAACCCCGATCAAATTCGTTAGTGACAAACGATAAATGGGCATCTTCTTCATCTACAAGTAAGCACCATCTCATATGAACATGAAAGTATTATTTAACGTTCTACGCTCGTTATCACCGTTGATTTAGCTCGTCAACCACTTTTGCCACCAATAGTAACAAATGTTGTTCAACACAGTGTAGATTCGACAAATGCTGTCGTAAAAAGTGCGTTTTATAGTCCTCCGTTGAGTACAGCAAATAGTTGGTCGAACATATCTTCACCGTCCCCGTCACAAAAACCTCACAAATCAAACAAATCGTTTAAATAAACTGAAAATTTTAGGCATTGAAAATCAGTTACCGTCAGATTATTTATGTATTTTTTACAAAACACTAATACTTGGGAATTGGATGAGGACATAAGGAGGGATATTATGAATCTCGGATTTTTCGATCGTCAGGAAAAAGTGCACGATTTGAAAGTAGGAAAGAGACAAAGATTTTTTTGAATATGCCGAAATATAGAGTAAACATTTTCCTGTAAAACGAGAAGTCACAGAGCTCTAAACGTTATTGTACTCGCATTTTATAATTGTTTGAATAGTAGCTTTCAAATAGCCTGGACTCGGACTCGATTAGAAGTTTGTTACTGAATGAGTACCGAATTACAAGCAAAAATCACATACAGCACGCCAAAAGGTTATTTTATAAAGAAACATTTACCCTGCATTTCTAAAAACTCAAAAGAATTTCATGTCACCAGACGTCAGAAATTCGCGACAAAGTTTGAAAAAGATATAAAATAGACTCATAACATTCCCAGAAATAACTGACACTTTTTTTAATTTGAATGATTTCGCTTACGTATTTTTATATGTATTTTCTGTTTGTAAAACGTTTTATGTTAAAAAGGTGAAAGTATAAGAATTTTTTCTTGAAAAAGTTTGTTGATAAGTGCCGCCTGTCTGAAGATTGATACTGGTCGATGCGATGTAAGAGGGAGAAAATGTGTTAGTCGTGAATTCAAATATAATTAATCTCTGCTTCACGATAAAAATCGGAAAGCAGATGTTCGTAGATTTTTCACGTACTATTTTCAAAAACAGAAGATATTTACATTCGATGTGAATCTGCAAATCAGAAATCAATTAACGGTGTAGTCATATATCTCTGTTACCAGAGTGAAATTCTGTAACGAAACTTGAACGTATGTTTCTTCGTCTAGTTTTTCAACAAAAGATTGGAGCTGTATTGTGCTACATCTAGAATTGTACAACAATCTTTTCTGAGCCAAATGGGATCCGATTGTGTATGGTTTTTCATTCAAAAAATAGAAAGCCAATATTAAACGCTACTTTTTTCAAATAAAGTTAGAAAGGAATGAGAAAGTTTGCTCAGCAATTCTAGATATTATACAGCGTCGATCGCTCTTTTGTTGAGAAACTATAAGATGAATAAAATGTTGAAATTTCGTTAAGAAATTTCATTTCGATAGCAGAGTCATGGGGTCACACCGGTAAACAAAATTATTGTACGGTTGTATCAATAATATTATTGTCTACGATTGATGAATAAGTTTAATGATGACATGATCATCTTTATGTTGAAATAGTATTTCGCCTGGAAATGTCACGTAGCCGTATTTTCGAGCTCGAAGTAAAATGCCAACTAGTTTATTGGAAATATTCGTGTAAATCTAAATAGTATGAAAAATATAAGACATTTTTTCATGGAAAAATTGTTCTCTTCTTCTTACGTCAAATAATTTTTCAAATTTTATATGAACCGTGCCATCATGTTGCTGTTCACCATTTTCCTTAATGATATTACATAAGTATCTCACTTCTTCTAAGATATGTTGTTGAGCTTGTAAGCCTCGTTTTTCAGTTAAACTACCTTTAACAGGATGACCATATCTTAAATAAGAAAACGTGAAGCCATTGCTGAAATCTTTAATACGAGAACAAAATTCAGATGATAACAGTTAATACTAGACATGGAAATTTTACACTCATCTATACTTACTCGGGATCATCTCTTCGAATCGTTCTATTCTGAAACTTTGACAATGAATTTTGATGTTGAGAATCTATCATTGGTTGTTGTTCCATCATACGAACGTTTTTCAGTTATTTGTTTCTATATACTCAGCTCTTTTATTGTTAGCTAACATGAAACAGAGACTATAATAAGTTATCATATGATATCTAACCTTGAATGCTATTTTTATATATCTTTTTTATCCTTTTTCATTAGATGATGTGTATAGAAATGAAGAAATTTCCATACAGTATATATATACTAGAAAGAGCAATATCTATGTATTTCTTTTGTCGTTTCTGTTGGAAAAAAGCTAATCTTTAGAACTCTGAGTTTCCTCTCATGAAAAACACCTTGAAATAAGCAGCAAATATAATGGACTGATTGATGGCACGTGGCATGTATGTCAATTCTATTGTTTCATCATGATATTGAATATTACTGTTTTTTCGAAGTATAAAAATAATTTGGCATATGTATAATGGGAAAGAAGAACATAGTTAAGTTTTTTGTCGTAGAGAAAATGTATTCCAAATATTTGATATTAAACGGCGAACAGGCTCATGTTTTCATTATGAAGATCAAGCTCCTCTGGGTGCTCGACCAGGCGTTAAAGGAACATGCGCTCCCCTCCCAAATAAAATATCCTGGATTTTTCTAAATGGGGTAATTATTATCAGTCGATACCTACTCGCTGGAAATTGATTAGTACTAATTAACACTAATGAATTTTACGATAATTTTTACATCGATCGATAGGTAAGACTCAGCTCAACCTACTTGTGAAATATCCCTTTTTTCCAGTGAAAAATAGCTGCAGAGCTTCGAAAATACTGAGAAATTTTTTTATCCTGAACATAATTTCCCCAGCCTACTCTATATCACTAAAATTTGGAAGAAATTTGCAATTTTTCCTTTTTACCGATTGTACGAGTCATCGAAACTTGTTTTGTAGAACTCGCCGCTGGTTTTGTATCTGGTGCCATCAATGGCACTGTAAATCTAAGGAACCAAAACTGTCAAAAATTTTGGAAATCACTATATTTGGGGTACTGCTCAAAAAGATTAATCAAAGAAAACGTTCGATAATTGACTGTTAACAACCAGTAATAATGCAAAAACTGGCATTACATGATGTTATTAACTGTCTATTTTCGTACAGGTTTCAGGCTGTTAAAAAATGTCATTTTACGGCACTAAAACGTTCTCATTTATAAGGTGTAAAAATGACCATTTAATGACTATTCATTATCTATTAACTGGAATTTAATAGACAATTAATTACACCGTTTTCGACAGCCTGGGAAGATAAAATAAAAATAGTCGTTTTAAACAACAAAATAAAAACTGATTTAGTTGACATACGTATCCAGCCAGGCTTTTGATGGATAAGTTGAGAGATCGAAACGCAGTCTTCCCATCCCTCGAAGGAATACATAAATGCTGTTTTCTCAGTGATACAGTGATACCCTTGATCAATTTTTTTGTACGCATGAAGGAAATCTTCATTTTTTTAAAATCAAGCGTGCATCCAAAATACTTTAGCGGTATGTTTATACTAAACTATCTGAACATTTTAACAACCAAAGACAGAATACAATGCTGTTAGTTTCATATTAAAAATAGCTGTTTCAAAACAGAACTATATTGATTAGTATAGTTTACTTTATCTATAGATTAAACAAAAAAATTCGATGACTGTTGGATTGGCAAAACTGGACTAGTTTGAAACAGTAAGAAATCACCGTGTTTACCATCGTTGGATAGTTTTTGTAGAGACTTGTTATGAAGAATATTTATTAAATGCAACGGTGAAAGATTTGAACAGTTTAAAAGTTAGAATATCGAAAAACCTTGACGTCATCAAGAACGAAACATATCCAAAATATACTGAAAGGATTATCTTTGTTTATTGAAGTGCTGATTCTAACCAGTTTACGTAAACAAATTATTTATAAGCAAAAGCTTTGAATATTTATCATTTAAAAAACAATTAGCCACCTTAGTTGACATATTCAACCAAATTTTTCATCTGGAAATGACCTTTACAATATCCTATATTTCGTCGTTTATGAACGTGATGTCACATTTAATCCAATTGATTTTTCTTTAGGTACTTTTCGAGTTGATTCACTTTTAGATTTAGGAGTAAGATACGGCAACTTAATATTTCAAATAAGTTTAAATGATATTTTTTCCCACTGGGCAACATTTTGTCACATTAGTTTCATCTTTAGCAAGAAGTCTGGAATCTGTACCCTAGTAAAACTTCTTGCGATCAAAATCTTGACTTCTTGAAGTTTTTCAGTAAGATTTTGATAAGAAAATGTAAGAATTAAAGAAACTTCAAGAAGTCCAGATCTTAAATACCTTGTAATTTCTTGACTTTCTTGATACCAAGATCCTGCACTCTAAAAAAAATGTTCTTCAGTTTTTCAAAGAACCGATAAATCAATGAGAATTTTGTTTTTTATTTGTCCCAAATGCTATTCTTCTTGAACAGAGTTGTTTAAGGAACAGCCTATGATTCTATATGGTCGTATGTCTAATGACTATGACTGACATAAATGAAAACAAAATGCAAAGAACAGTTTTCACTTAAGATCTTGCAACATCTTGAGTGGATTCACTAATTTCTGTTCTTAAGATCTTAGCCAAGATCTTGACTTCTTAGTGTTTTTTTCAAGATCTTGTGATATTCTTGACTCAAGATCATGGTTACAAGAAGTTTCACTGGGGTATACATCTCAAATCGAGTTTAAGATAAATATACTACTTTTAAACAGTTAAACTTCGATATTTTTGTGTATGTCTAATAAATTCTGCATGAAAAGTCACTTTTGTCGAGTTTGACATTGTAAAGCTTAAACGTTGGAGAAATACACTGAGAACCAGTCTAGTAGAGAAACGTGCTACCCGTCATGACTGCGACTGTTGTCTATTCTTCAAGAAATTAATAAATTATTAATTGTAAAACTATTTCACTTGCTATTAGAAAAGTCAAAGCGTTTACCTTACAATAAAATTTTGGAAAGAACGAATTTTTTTGAAGCTATAAACTGAAAATTATACCAAGTCTAGCTTATTTTAAAGTTTAACTGAGTAATCATTAATAAATCAATAGTGTGTATTGTCACACCAGATGAATGAAATTCTTTCTCAGTTGTTCATTAACAGTTCCACTTGATGGTGCTAAACGATAGGATTTTGAAAATGATGTATTGGTTGTCACGTCAGTTCCATAATTAAATGAAATTAAAAACTATTTTATTTGCAGTCACCCATGTGTCTGATAATCCTTGCTGTTAATGTTTAGTTGGTTTAAATTCGTAATCTCTACCGACAACCGTCGATTGCGTTATCGTTATTATAGAGTTCCTTTTATGATAAACAGAAAGAAAAATCATAATTTAAACAACTTTTTTACTTCGAAAACTACATATTCACAAAAAACAATAAATAACAGTGAAAAAATTATTTAATAAATTTTAATTGTTATTCTGCTCATTCCTAATTATTGATCTTGAGTTGTTTCAATAGACTTTTCCACATGTCAGCCTTCACAAAATCAACGTACTAAGAATCAAAGAAAATTACAGAAGTTTCAAGATAAACTTTTTCACGATTCTACATGTGATATGTAACTTTAATTGTAAATAATTGTGAGATAGTAGTTCACCCATAACATTCACAGATATTAATTTTTTTGAATAGACAAAAATAACAGACGGTTTATAGATGAATTAAAATTATATATATGTTGAACTCATCGAGTATTCGTGATCTGACCAGATGTAAAAATGTATCTCATATTCGTCATATGTCCAGATTCATTAAGAAAATAATTTAATTCACTTTTTTATATATATACTACTAGCAAAAACATCACTTTATTACTGATAGATACATGTATTTATTCTTTATGTTAATCTAATCCAATAATGACAATGTTGCGTGTGACCGGATTTTGCTTGGAGCCATGTTATTACTTTCAAAATTTTTACATTATTATTCATTAAAACATATGCACACATGAGAACAGAAAAAAATCAAAATGAATGATGATTGGTTAGAATAAAAGAAGAAAACAAGTTATTGGATAAAACTATGAAAGTTTAAAGATCAATATTTTTGATCAAGCGATAGTTACGTTTCCTTTTGAAAAACTGTTATTATCGAAAATGGTAGTTATATCTTTTGGTTTTCTAGATACAATTTGTAGAAACAAAATTATATCGAATCTCCATTCTTAAAGTATTAGTATATTGTTTATCATCGTTGTATTACTACTTACAATAGCAGGTGACAAATAAAGAGTGAAATGAATATATATAACGACAGTTTTTTTTAAGACGGAAATATTTATTAAAATCAATAAAGACTCAACAATGCTCATACACACAAGAAACATTTCCGTATAGTGAAAAAAAAAAATGTAATAAAATGGATACAATGACAATAGAAAAAACAGGAGATTTTTTTGTATGAGGATAAAAAAAGAAAATCTATTTTTTTCTCTCTCTTTCCCTCTTTTTCTCGCAAATTTAAGTAGGATGTATAACAAGATCAAGATTAACTACTGTGAACACATATATACACAAATTAAATTTACCATAGTCAGTGTGTTGACTTGTCGATGAGAGAATTTAGTCAAATAGATAAATGAATTGCAATTAGTTAATTTACTCTTTTGTGTATATTTTCTTTCGATCTGATTGAATTGATATATAGTAAAAAATTAGATTTTGAACAGTTTTATTTATACATAATAAATTAAATTAAATTAAACTAAATGAATACAATTATTCTTAATAATGTACAATAGTGAAAAAATCAGATTAGATCAAGATAAACATCGAGGTAAGTGGGCTAGATGACGAAATAATACATGTTATCATATAGAGACATTTTCTGAATAGGGACGAGCGGTTACTGACGCTTCCCTCGAATTTTTACTACGGTAATTTCAAACTGATAAAAATCTTTATCGTTATTTCTCATCTCTGCCTTTGAAGTACAAATTGTAATCGCCAAAAACTATAGTAAAACGCATATATTTACTCTTTTGGATCTTTTTCTAAACAGCTGCTGCGTTCAAAACAAACGCAAATATTAATCACCAGTACAGATTGAAAATTACCACCAGCTTCAATAATTATTGCGACTTTTTAGTATTCTTTATTATTTCTCGCACCAAACTCTGTAGGATAATAAGCAAATTGGTTAAACTAACAAAGATCAATCAACAATTGATTTGCAGTACTAAAAAAGACCTATCATCTACATATCATTTCTTGCTGTTGAAGTTTAATTTAACGATAAAATCAGTGTGTTGCTAACGATTTGTTGTCCTAAAATATTTTGTCTTATTCGGGGGGTACGAGCTTTTACTGATATTATTTAGGAGCAAAAATAAGTGAGCAAGAGAATCTGATTGCAAAACTAGTTGCAGATCTGGTTTGATATCTGAGTGGACCGTTTTTTGTTTGTAAAATATATTTAACTACAGTCGGGTTCAAATCGTATTCTGTATGAAAACGATCACTGCACGAACCAGTCAGTCCGATACTTCATTGCCCAAATAATCGACAATAGTTGGTTGCACCCGATTAGAGCTAGATTCGAACTAAATAAATGTAACTTTAATCTACATATAAGCGCCCACTTTTCGAATTTTCTTTGTGTTGGATAATTAATTTGAAAAATTTTATTTCAAAATATGTTTTTTCGTGAATTACAGAAATTTAAGAAGATTTTATACTTAGACCGAAGAATCCAAGTATTCTGAATACATTTTAGACGATTCATACTTCAATAGCTCTGCATTTACTTTAAAGATCAGACTTTGATCAATTATCATTCGTGAGTTTTATGAGGAAGATATTTATGCGTTTTACTGTATGTTAACTACAAATATTTGAGTCTAATGTATAAAAACTAATTTAGATCACTTTTTTTGTCTTATAAGTATGAGAAAAAATAGATGAAGTATCACTCACCGATCAATATATATGAATAGAGAGCATTATTCTCTTATTATTTGCGATTTGATTTGACATACTACCTCCTATCTTATAAAATATTGTATGAAATCAATTTTGTTGTAGAACATATACTTTAAATACCAGATAGATTAAGAACAGAAAGAGTTATTATAATTAAATGAAGCATTTTTCTGAAAAATTTGACTTAATTATTAGTAAAAGAAACATTAAACTTCAATGACTAAAACTTTTTTAATTTTAAAAAGTTCATCAAGAAGTTCGATTATTTCTGTTAATGTTTATAAATTGATTTTTATTATAATATCGACTACTTTCTATTGTTCATTGATACATGTCTAGATACGAAAAATTATCGTCATTGTGATGATAATACTGGAAAATCTTTAACATTACATAATGATCGTCAATCAACATTATCAACCGATTCGTGTCTCGACGAAAAAAATTCATCATCAAAACCAAAACGTCATCGAACAAGATTTACTCCAGCTCAATTGAATGAACTTGAGAGAAGTTTTGTTAAAACACATTATCCTGATATATTCATGAGGGAAGAATTAGCAATAAGAATCGGTTTGACAGAATCACGTGTACAAGTAAGCGCAAGAGTGAGATGTGTTATTAAACTGATCACGTTAAAAATATTTATATATACGTTTTAGGTTTGGTTTCAAAATCGCCGAGCAAAATGGAAAAAACGAAAAAAAACAACAAACGTGTTTCGACAAACGTCATTAATGTCATCCTATGGCTTTTCTTCATCTATGGACACTTTAAATCCGTTCACAACATCATCAACACCATCAAGATGGCCAAATATCAATTCATTGTCACAATTTGCAAATCCATTTAATTCACAGATTAACAATACACCCAATTTTATGACAAGAAACGAATGTCAAAGGCATAATCTCTCTTCTCAGGTAAAACATTTCAACTAATTTGTATAGAATATACAGTAACTATCTTTAGCACATTTTTTTTATTTTGCTTCATAAATTTCTGGTAAAATATGTGTCACATCCATTTTCTAGTTGAATCAATCACCTTCAAATTTCTATGGTAACCAATATCAAATGTCAAAGTTTCCTCCAACAGCGTCAACATCATCTCCACAAACTGGTACACTTGAAACAGGTCCACCATCTCCTTCCTCGTACCTGTCAAATTTTCCATGTCTTACGTCTACAGAACAGTATGCCGATGCTGATGATATGTGGCGCGGATCAAGCATTCTTGCTTTAAGACGAAAAGCCGTTGAACATCAAGCGAATGTTAGTACATATCGATGATGCCATATTATTTTAACATTTTAAAGTAACATTGTGCTCAAATTGTTATATAAAGATCATATAATGAGCTTCACAACATGTTAGCTAAAATCAATAAAGGAGTTTATCGATAATTAGATATTGTTAAAGCTAGTCTGTTAGTAGCCATGCTTTTGTTCTCAAGTTCAACGTATCTTTATCCAGAGAAATCCTTAGTTACACATCTCACAGAAAAAGATCACTTCAGATGAAAATTTCAATAAGTTAAAAAAGAAACAGATCTTCTTCACTTCTACTGCCAATAGCACCTGTTCGACTTTCGAACTATTCACAAATTGTATTAATCAGTATGAATAATCAGAAGAGGCATGATAACTCGTGCAAATCCTTCTGCTGGTAAGAAACATTATAAAATTTCATATCATTATAACGCATCATTTCGTTATCAACAAAAGTCGATGATGTTAATTGTGTACAGCTGTTTTTCCACTTGATTCAGCAATACTGGTTTCTGAAAGTGCTGGTCACCAGAATTTATTGCTTCATTTCTATTCCCAACTATGAATTTTACCTTTGAATTGTGTTTTACATTGGATTCCAATTACAGCCCATGTATCTCATCACTCCATGAAGTATAATGTTTAAAATAGCAGTACCGATTTGAGTACCACAGACTACCCAATTACCGCTCACACATGTTAATATTACCCTTGCTGGTATATCTTGATCGTGAGTATGGATTATTACATACGTTGCAAGCACGGCATAGCGCTCTTTTTGCATTTTTAAATGTAGTTACTGTAGAAGAGTATCAGTGTTTAATATTCCACTAGTTTTCGATCGTTTACATACTACACTATCTGCATGAATGAAGATGGCTATAGTACATACATTGTAGTATTAAAATTAAGTCTGACTAGGAAAATTATTCGGATGTTTTGTAAATTTATTCAATACTTTATTGTTTTTTCTTAAAATACCAATAAAATATGAATACTTTTTAAAGAGAGACAATTTCTCTATACTGCAGTTTTACTGAAAGTTATCTTTGTAAACAATTTTAATTTTGATTTACCAAAGTTTATTCTCTGTTGGGGCGAATAATAACTTGATACGTCAACACAAATTCACGCGCAGATACTTTTTACAGAACAGTTTTAGCAAGCAGCAATACAACATTGTATTAATGCTACTAATGCAAGGATAAACGTGACCATATTCACAAGCATTTGGCTAGCATTCTCTGAATAGTATTTTAATGTTTTTAGCCTCATTTGATTCTCTTTAGAAAAAATCGAATATAAAAGTAAGCTTCTATGAAGTCCTTAGCAATTTCATTTCTAAAATGATTAATTTGTCTTCTAACATTACAATGCTGAATAGTAATTTTAGTAGTTTATGAAGGGGACCAATAATCATAATGAGAACAAATAACTTTCATAATATTTTATTTTGTTCCTCTCTATTAGATGGCAATACATTGGCTTTCTGTATCAACGCTGAAATACTACTACTTTACAGAACTCACTGAGTCTATCAAGTCCTATAGACAGTAGCTGGTCGGATGATATAAAGGCTGAGATATTCACATTTTAACCTCAAAGTACATGTGACGTTATTTTTATAATTTTCCAGCTATTTATTGAAGATAGAGGTCTAGTCAAATCTCGTTCTCAGATCCTTTCGAGCCTTCTTTCTTTTATTTTCACCTAGTCAGGCGACAGTTAGTCAAGGGGGAAAGCACGGAATCCTGGAATCCCATGGAATCTCAGGGAATCCAACGGAATCCAAAGAAATCTATCGAAATCCAAAGGACTCCAATGGAATCTGGGATTCTACATTTCTCTCGAAACAGAACAAAAGTGTTCTATATTTTGGGAAGCTTTCCCCAACACAGAACAAAATGTTATGTAATGTCTGTTTTGGGGAAAAGTTCCAGTGAATCCAAGGGAATCTTATGGATTCCAAGAGAATCCTATGGAATCCTGGGGAATCCTTGGAATCCTATAGAATCATAGACAATCCTTGGAATCCGGGAGAATTCAGGATTCTAGGATTCCGTGCTTTCCCCCTTGCAGTTAGTTTGCTTTAAAAGGTTAGTCAGTACTTATTATCTTTCAGCTCCTTTTTCTTTCGTGCATATATACATTCATTTTCTTCTTCGTAGATTGTTTCTCTTTTGTGTTTATTTTTTTTTTACTTTTTCAGTTTTCTTTTACTACACTTTGTTTCACTACACTATTTTCGTTCTGGTTTTGTTTTCTTCACATGTCATATATATAATCTCTTAGTCTGTCGGTCTGATCTGTTATTCGCATTTTCCATTTTGCAAATATATTTCTATTACCACTGGTATTCGCTTTCACACTCGTTCGCCTTTCATTAGGTATTTGTTACTGTGGTCCCTCTTATCTCTTCGTTGAGTGATATCATCCTGAGTAGGCATGCACCGATTTCGATTAAAATTCGAATAATCGAAATTCGATTATTCGAAATCGAACATAATCGAACTTCGATTATTCGAAATCGAAAATATTCGAACCTTCGATTATTCGAAATCGAAAATATTCGAACCTTCGATTATTCGAAATCGAAAATAATCGAACCTTTTTTCTGTTTCTGGCAAAATACTAGAGCGACGT